TGTGGTCATGCCACCTGGATGCGTCAGGTGTCTGGGCTGTGGTTCATACTGTCCCGGGGAGATTGACCAGCCTGATCTTTAAAAGCCTTTTGAAAGGTCAGGGGTAGAAAAAGCCCTGTCTTGTGGCCTGCAAGCATGGAGAGTGCCAGGGAGCCTGGGGGCTGGATAAATGCTAGCCTGGAACATTCTAGCTCCAGTCTCTCAAAGGCACCTCTCACCAGCATGTTGTCTTAAAAGGTTTTAGCTGGAAATACTTGCCTTACTTGTCTCTGGAAGGTTTGGGTGGTACTGGCAGGGCCAAGCAGACATATTTCCCAAAGCAAAATAACCCCTTCTCAACCACCTATCTGTGCAAATCTTGAGGTTGTGGAGCGTTGGGCCCAAGGAGGACCCTTGCTGTGCTGGGGGATTAATTGCTGCTCTCTTTTTACTTCCCTGCAGAAAAGTTTCCCACCTCAGCCTGTAACCCTTCTGGACATCTATACGCACTGGCAACAGTAAGTCTGACGGGGCTGAAGGATTAGAGTAGGGACACCCCAAGCTATTAGCTTGGACTAAGCTAGGATACTAATCTGGTCTAAGATCTGTCCCCATAGCCCACTGTGGACACCATTATTGCCCACAGGAAGCCGGATTGTTTGTGTGGGTGTCTGGTAGTGGAAGGGGACATTGAGAGCTGTGATCAATATTAAATAACAATAAGGACAAAAGCTTCTCGGCAGTTTGTTATTCAGTCAACAAACATTAAGCTCTTATTGAATGCCAGGCCCTGTTCTAAGCATGGGGGGTGTCATGAGTGAGACACACATGGTTCCTTCTTTCCTGTAATTGACATTGGAGTCAGGGAAGTGGGCATGCATCAAAGAATGAAACGAATGTTAAATTACAATGGTAGTTAAGGATTACAAAAAGAAGGTAACTGGTGCCAAAACCACATAAACCTCATTTAGGGTTTTAGGGGAAGCCTCCCTTAGGTGACCTTTGATTTGAGAGCTGCAGGGAGTGGGGGCATGAACTAGGCAATGGGTATGGAGAAGCAGGTGGAATGTACCTGGCGGAGGGATCTGCTGGTGCTGAGGCCTGTAGCCATGGGCACATTATAGGTGAGGCTGGGCAGTTGGCAGGGCCCACCCCATGCATGACCTGATCGTCCACAGTGAGAAGTTGAGCTTTACCCCAAGAGCCATGAGAGCCATGGAAGGGTGAAGCACAGTGGCGAGATCGGCCTGCAGCCTGGTGAGACTGGCCGAGGCTGTGGACATCGTCATCCGGGCAACAGCCGGTGGGGCTTGAGACAGGAATCACAGGAGGCAGCAAGTGGATTCCAGGAATACATAAAACCAGGATCTGGGGGTGGTTTGGAGAGGCAGTCTAGTCGACTCCCAGGTGTCTGGCGTGTGCGTGTAGCTGGAAGGGAGCCTGATTTAGAGGGAAAGACTTGAAGGACATGTTGAGTGTGAAATGCCTGTGAAACATGTAGAACTTCTACTTTTCAGGGAACATGTAGAACTACTTTTCAGGGAAGGGGAAATAATCCAAGGGTATATCAACAGAGGAATGGTGTGAAAATGAAGGAGGGGATAATTGTATTCTCTCCATGCACTGGCCTGACCACAGCCAAGTAGGAGAGTGAGGGACCTGTAGTGATATCCCACGAGGAATGATAGAGAATACCGAATTGTCCAGGATGGCAAAGAGATGGCAGAGGGGCAGGTGAGGGACACGGAAGACAAAGGGAGTGGCGTGTTCTCTGGGGGCCCTGAGAGACTGCCGTGGGATCTGTATGTACCTGCTTTAGGAACACAGTTTTCAGCTTCTAAGTACAAGCATTTGGTCATCAGAGCTATCCAAAAATGAGACAGGCTCCAGTGGGAGTGGTGAGCTTCCTGTCCTGAGAGGTGTGTAAGTAGAGGCAGGAATGGTATGGAAAGGATCCCAGCTTCCAGTGGAGAGCTAAGGTCTTGGAAAGTCCTATCAACACTCAGTTCTTTGCATCTCCTCTGCTGCTAAAGTGAGCACAGGGCATGTTACACACTTCCTCTCCCTCACCTTCTCCGACTTGCCCAGATGTCTTGGTTGTTATTCACAGCACTTCCCCAGAAAACCACATCAGTGAGCTGTACCACAAGCCCTTCCCTGCCCCTGGCCCCTCTCATCTGTAAGCGGGACTGAGTGGGACGAGAACCTCCTACCTACCAGAGGCAGCCTAGCCTAGTGGTTCCTGACAAATTCAAACCTAGCAACTAGCTGTATGACCTTGGGCAAACTTGGCCTCCCTGGGTTTATGTCCTCATCTGTAAAGTGAAGATAATAATAGCAAATAAAGTGCTATACCTGACTATTGGAGGCACCCCTCCCAGTATACTGAGTACCTTCTGTGAGCCAGGACCGTTCTTGACATGACTGGGAACAAACCAGAGGAAAACCTCCTGCCCTTGTGAAGCTTACATTTTATTGGGAAAAGAGAGGCAGAAGAAATTGCTACATGTAATAAACGAAACCTGTTTTAGCAAGAGATTCCCAGCAAGTGACCTGCCTGGGAATCAGGGACCTGAGCAGCACGTCCCAAACTGTGGCAGAGCAATGTCTATTACAGCTGGAGTACCTGGGGCATAGACAGTGTGACTCCCTTGGGCTGGGAGCGTGGGGTCAAAGGAGATGATACTTGAAAGTTATAGGGACTCAGCCATCTGAGTGCTTATCCTATCAGTGCCCCAAACTTCCTCTTTGACCCTGGGCAAGTCACTTAGTTGTTCACATGTTGAGACGCATGCTGTGTGCTAAGGATCTTAGTGAGCTGAGAAAGGTTCCCGCCAGCCCTCCCCCTTCCCCGGGTCTTATTGTGTAGTGTGGGCATCAGGCAGGAAGTAAGTAAAATAACAAGAGAGAAAAGTGTTCTAAAGAAAATGAAACAGGATGACAGGGCAGAGAATGTCTTGGGGGAGGGGATGACCAGGGAGGGGCCTCTCTGAGGAGGCTGTATCGAAGCTGAGGCCTGAAAGACAAGAAGGACCTGGGCAGAATCTTCCAGAAAGAGGGCACTTCAGGTGCTAGAAGTTCTGGGGAAGACAGGTGCCTGGACGGCCCTGTGAAGTGCCTACAGGTGCCAGCACATTACCACTCAATGCCTGTTGGCTACTGTTATATGTTACTGACCATTCCTGGTTATTTTGAAGTCTATTAGACAATTATAAAAACACTTTATGAAATGAGTGAAAATGCAGAATTGTGTCTACACTGTGCCTTCATGGATGTGTAAACTCTCTTTATTTGTATTTCCTTTGGAGGGGTGGGATGATGAGGGAAGATCTTTCTTTTCAAATCTCCTAGAGTTGCCCTTGTTACCTGGTTGGTATAGTCCAGCAGTTCTCAACCTGTGGGTCGCGACCCCTTTGGGGGTCGAACGATTCTTTCACAGGGGTCGCCTAAGACCATCGGAAAACAAAAAGATATTTACATTACGATTCATCACAGTAGCAAAATTACAGTTATAGAGTAGCAACAAAAATAATTTTATGGTTGGGGGTCACCACAACATGAGGAACTGTATTAAGGGATCGCAGCATTAGGAAGGTTGAGAACCGCTGTTATAGTCCATCACCCTTGTCCTGCAGAACCTCGGAGGTTGGCCGGAAGCGGAAGGCAGAGGAGGATGCAGCACTGCAGGCCAAGAAGACCCGTGTGTCAGACCCCATTAGCAGCTCGGAGAGCTCAGAGGAGGAGGAGGAAGAGGCAGAAGCTGAAACCGCCAAAGCCAGTAAGAGCCCTGCTTGCTGGGCCCCCATGATTGGTGCTTGTGGGGGCTCAGCCCAGGGCCCGGCCCCTTTTGGGAACAGGCTGTTAGATATTGGGTCATCCCGGGGGAGCCCACCTTCAGCTTCATCACTGAGCCCTGGGAAGACCAGGACCTTTAAGGGGGAAGATCGGAAGGGCCTACATACCTATTTCAGTATTTATTTGAGCCCTTCCTCGTGCCAAACATTGTGTCCCCAGTTGCTGGGGATCCGATGATAAAAAAAAAAAAACCCCAGACAAGCCCTTAACAATGAAATTTGGGGCCCAAGAGCTGCATTTTTACAAGTCCCCAGCTGATTGCAATAAAAGTGGAAGGAAGCCCACATTTTCAGAACTGCTAGGTTTCGGAGAGGGCAGCTGGTGGGCCCCTCTTCTGTGTGGCCCATGGGCTGCTTCCGGAGTTGCTGATCCTGTCATTTTGGACATGTACAAGTAAGTCTTGGGCATTCTGGTTTCACAGCCTTGGCGGGGGTGACCCATGAGGCCTTCACACCTCCTCTCCCCAGATTCTCAGGGCTGTGTGTGCTTTCACCAACAGTAGTCGTAATTCCACAGAGGAATGGTCATTCTTCTCTGCACTGTGTTGTTTTTGCTTATGTAGAAAGTAAAATGTCTTAACTTTTAAATATATCTTCTGATTGTAAAAGAAATATAGGATATATTATGGAGCATTCATTATAAAATATATGCAAATTACTTTTTTAAAAGGCAGGAAAAAGTTACCCATATTCTTGCCACCTACAGTTTGGCAAATTATTCTTCCATTTATTTTTCCTGAGCGTGCTTTTAAAATATTTGCAATCATACTGAATATATATATTCTGCATCTTGCTTAATCTTAAAATTACAAATGCAAAATGAGTTCACTTTGAACCGTACAAAAGCATTTAGAAGAAAAATGGGAGATTCCTCTTCTACCCTGCTCCTTTTTCACCCCCTAAAAGTATCTCTTGGCAGGTGACCCTAAAAGTTTCTCCTTTGCGGGTACAGCCATACAGATAGCCACCCATACATACATACATGACAAAATGTGATCAAACAATATGGTGAATGTTTAAATAAAAAATTTTTATTATAGTAAAAGACACATTGCCATTAATCTCCTTCAAAAGACTCCCCCTTGCTTCGAACACACTTATCCCATCATTCTTGCCACATTCTAAAATGGTTCGGGAAGTCCTTTTTCATGAGTGTCTTTAGTTGCACTGTCATGGCTGCCTCGACGTCCTGAGTCATTTTGACTTAGGGGAAGAGACAGAAATCGCACGGTGCCAGATCCAGTGAATTAGGTGGATGAGGACACACTGTAATGTTTTTATTTGACAGAAATTGCCATACCAGAAGCAATGTGTGACATGGGACGTTGTCATGATGGAAGATGATTTACAGCACAGTTTAAAACACACCTTCTCTCAACAGTAGCTCATACCTGACTGACTGCACCAAACAAGTTGAAACTTGTCAAACACTGTTACTAAGGTTTAACACACAGCTTCCCATATTAAAGATCCCTGCCTTTCCATTGGATCGCACTCAGCAGCAGCATTCACCATATTTGTTGATCACAATGGAAAGGCTCCATATCACACACCACTCTGGTATGGCAATTTCTGTCAAATAAAAACATTATGGTGTATCCTCATCTGCCTTATTCACCAGATCTGGCACTGTGCGACTTCTGGCTCTTCCCCAAAGTCAAGATGACCATGAAAGTTAAATGTTTTGAATCGATTCAGGACATCGAGGCAGCCACGACAGTGCAACTAAAGACACTCATGAAAGAGGACTTCCAGAACTGCTTCAGAAAGTGGCAAGAACTATGGGATAAGTTTGTTAGAAGCAAGTGGGGAGTATTTTGAGGGGGGTTAATGGCAATATATCTTACTATAATAAATTTTTAAAAATTTAAACATTCACTGTATTTTTTTATCACGACTCGTACATATCTACATACTATTTAAAAGTAAAATTGTAAAATTTCTTGCTACTCGATATTAATGAATTTTTAAAGCTGTGATAATGGAATCATAATTCTTTTAAAAAGAGTCCTCATTGAGAGAAACATACTGAAATACACATGGGCACATGATATGATGTCTGGAATTTTCTTCATAGTAATACTCATTGGGGAAGGGCGAGTGAGAGGACAACTGAAATAAAATTGGCCCCAAGTTGATAATGTTTGGAACTGGGTGGTTCAGCATATACTTCCTCTCTACTTAGGAATGTGCTTAAAATTTTCCATAATTAAAAAAAGAGATGGAGTTAAATGCCAGGAAAAGAATTAGATCGTGCCATCTTTATTTTGCTGCATATCTTAGAAATCTTTTTCTGTCTGAGATTGAAGGAGATGTAAAAGCACTAAGAATCTAGAAATCGCACCATCTAACTGGGTTGTGGTCTCATGGTTCAGCTGCCTCCCCACTAAGAAGCCATTTAAATTCCGAGCAGCTTTCTCTGCGGACCTGGGGCGGGCCATCTGACCACTGGCCCCTGTCTTGCTGAGCGACTTTCAGGGCTCCGTGGCAGCCTGTGGGAATGGCACCCCCTGGAGTTGTGCAGTGCCTGCATGGTAGCATGTGGCAGGACCATGGGCCGGTCCTTTTCCTCTGGGGGGCTCCAGCATCTCATGCCACCAGGGAGTTGTGACTCCATCACGGATGCAGACGTGGAGATTTCGTGTTGCTCCTCTCCCTCCCTCCCTCACCTGGACGTGGCTAATGCACCACAGAGCTCTTTCCCCCAGTCTGGGCACGGCCCCAGATCCTTATCCAGCACTAGGCAGCCACACCAGTTCAACTGTTAGGTGAGCTGAAGCCTGTCTGCTATTCTTAGGTGAGAAAAAGCTCACCTGGTTCATCCAGTGGGTGTTTGTGTCTTGCAGCCCCAAGACTGGCTTCTACCAACTCCTCAGTCGTGGGGGCAGTATTGCCATCCAACATGAAAGAAAAAGCCAAGGTGAGTGGGACCGTGTTCCAAGCTCTTACCTGTGGGAGTTGCAGTGCTCTGTAGAGGACAGTCCCCTGTGTCAGAGAAGGACAGGGTTGTGCATATTGCTCAACCTGGACTCAAGTCGCAGCCTAAGTCACCAGCTGTGTGACCTGGGTGAGTCTTTACCTCTCTGGGCCTCGGTTTCCTTTTCTGTAAGATGGGGTGATGCCAACTGCCATGGGCCACTGGGCACCTTATGCATGTGGAACAGACGGCTTCTCTTCATCCCTGCAGTCACCAGTTCACTCTGCAAATCTGTGCCGATACCGTTACGTTCCGGGCACTGTGAGGCAGTAAGACACTGTAATGAATAAGACATTTGTGTTTCTGAAAGCTCTAAAAGCATTTTCTAGACTGGAAACTACTTAGAAAGGAGAGTATCGTTTTCTGGTAATCCATAAAGCAGTGTTACAGACGTGTAAAGGATTGTGTCCCTGAAATTGCCTGGAGCGTAAGCAACAATGTGTAAAAATATAATTTCGGAGTAGTGACGATAATTACAAGAAACTGCTACTTACCACTTAGCAAGTAACAACTGTGTCCCAGTAAGGGAGACACCATTTTTAGCCTCACTTTAAAGATGAAGAACAGAGACCTAGGGAGGTAATTTACCCAGACTCACACAGCTAGGAAGTGGTAGAGCTGGGTTCAGATGGGGTCTGTGTTCTTAGTTCACTAGGCCATACCCAAGTGTGTCTGTCACTTGTTCCCTATAGGCAAAGGCCAAGCAAGTCAACAAGACAGTGAACTCCACACCACACCCTGCCTCAGGGAAGGCAGTGGCCCACGCCCCCTCTGGGAAGTCACCCAAAAAGTCAGCAGGGCCCTCAGCAAATACCATCCTGTTCATAGAAAGTGAGGAGGAGAGCAGCGTCCCGGCCCTCGGAACCACTGCCAAGCCTGGTGAGAAGCCCCCTGGGTATGGGCAGGTGGGGTGGGAGGCAGGCCTGGGTACTGCTTTGTCAAGCCCTGGGACACTCTGGAATTCAGAGGCTTATCTCTATGACAATGAGGGCCCCCCACTTCAGACCAATTCCCCACCCCCTTGATGAGGGAGAGTCGGCTGCAGGGACATGTCAGGCTTTGCCGAGGGAGTTGAGCACCCTGGGTGGTGGTGGAGCATCTTCTGTTTGTTGCTCTCAGGTTGATAAAGGGCCCGCCTCGGAGGCTTATTGGTGTACAGTAGGCATTTGCCCTACCTTTCACAGTGTGATGGTGGAAGGAGACTTTCTAAGCCATCAGATGCTGGCGCATGTGTATTAGGACCTATTATAGTCCTTCCCAGGGCCTCAGAACTGTGCAGGAACGTAGAGATACTAGTGGTACACACCTCAACTGTGGTGTTTCAAGAAAACAAGCTGAAGCAAGGCACGCGCGTTCAGCACCTGGCTCTGATGAGTTGGCATGGCGGAGTGCGGGCGGGTCTGGAAAGGGTGGCCCTCAGTGCCTTCCCTGTTCATCCCTCAGGAGTGGCATCGGCGGGCCAGATCGACAGCGCCAGCGAGGACACCTCCAGCTTGAGCGATGAGACAGACGTGGAGGTAATTGGCACCATCCTCAGGAGTTGCTCTCCGCAAACCTTGAACCCTCCCAGGAGCCTGGCTTCACAGACGAGTGGGAGCAGATCAGCTCAGCGAGTGCTTCAGGGTGACTGGGAGCTGGAAAGGCTGAGGCCTGGAGAGGGGAGAGGAGCCGGATGCCGCTCATTGCACTCTGGGTGTGAGAAAGGTCGGCAGAGACGCCATCCTGTCTGTGAGGCAAAGGAAGGCTTCCTGGAGAGAGGTGGCATTCGGGCGGGGTCTTGGTACACAAGGGCCTTCACCAGGAAGGGGATGTAGGATGTAGGAGGAGGGTGTTCAAGCAGAAAGCTGCACCAAGGCCCAGGGACAGGAGGGTGGCCGTCCCGTGGTGTGGTCAGAGGGAATGGGCTGAGGCCACTGAGGGGGCTCGGGGCCCACTGGCAGACGCCAGGCCTGGACATTTGGCCAGAGATGGGCAGGTTTTCGCCTGTGGCCTTGTCTCTTCTCTGAACTGGGACCAGGGAGTCGTGTCTTACTGTGTATCTGCCGAAAGCCAGGCCTTAGGTACAGTGGTAAGCGAGATGGTGCGGTTCCTGCTGTGTGGGGAGGTGGAGGGTCCCTAAGAAGTTACAGCGGTGATGGTTACTGTGAAGGGAAAGGTAGAACGCCATGGGGGGCAGTGACAGGAGCATGATGTAGACAGAGGGACAGCATGGGCAGAGACGGACAAAGAGAGCTTGGTGCTTCCAAGGAACAATTGATCTACAGTTCATGAAAGGGGTGGGGGAGTGATGTAAAATGAGGACAGAGGAGCCAGGAGCCGGCTCTGCCGCCTGGCCGCGGGGACCACCAGGAGGATAGGAGTTCAGGTCGTATTCTCCATGCTGCGAGAAGCCTTCGTAGGGTTTCGGGGGTAGGTAAGATGGCCTGATGTATGTTTCATGAAGTTCATGGGTTGTGGCCTGGACTGGAGGACAGAATGCAGGTGGCGAGACTGTGGAGGGACTGGATGCTGGCAGGAGATGCTGGCGCCAGTGCGCCCAGTGGAAAGAGGTTGGGAGGGAGAACCAGCAGGATTCAGGAATGGGTTGATATGGTGCCTGGAGTACTTCCCACCTCTCCTGCCTCACCCAGTCACCCATGAAGGTGGAGACGTCACCCCTGTCTACCCCAGGCCTGCTGCAGGTGCTCCCCACATTCTGTCCCCCACCTTCGGGCCCTAGATACAGCCAGCCATAAGGACGCCTTGGGAAACCAGCAGTTAAACACTCAGCTCAGTGGGCCGGAGGCCAGTGCAGGGCTCTAGCAGCAGTAAGGAAGAGTGAGACTAGGAGATGGTTACCCCAGAAACCCAGGGTCAGGTGAGGTCTCACTGATAAGGGGTTGAGGTAGGGGACTACTTGCCTTGGAAATGTCAGACTTATTAGAAGTTTAAGAAAGAGCCCAGAGAGGGAAGATGTGTGCCCAGGGTATCTCAGCAAGACTGGCGTGGAGATCCTGGCCTCCTGGCCCTCGGGACGACCACGTGATCAGATACTATAGTTGAAGAGGCAGGCGAGGATGGCTCTCCTGATGGAGAGATGCCACCTGTCTGTGCTGGACCCCGTGTGCCAAGTGGCAGAGGAGCTCAGTGGGCGAGAATTATGCCCCAAAGCCACGCAGACGTGGGCTCCAGTCGCTGCTCTTCACCTTAGCAAGTTCACCTCTCAGAGCCACTTGTCCTTTTCTGTAAAACGGGTGTAAAGGTAATGTCTGTCTCCGGGAGTTGTTTGAGGGTCAAAAACATCAGGAAAGGGCTTTATAAACCTTGAAGCATTTTATACCCTCCCAGGGTAAGGATTATTCCTTCTAATTCCATCCTCTTGTTCCAGGTGAAACCCTCGGTAAAACCACCGCAGGCCAAAGCCTCGCCAGCCCCTGCCAAGGAGTCTCCAGGGAAAAGGCCCGCTACAACCCCTGGGAAGGCAGGGAATGTGGCACCCCAAGTCAGGGGAGGTGCCCTGACCCCAGCCAACAGGGCCAAGAAGTCAGAAGAGGACTCGGAAAGCAGCGAGGAGTCTGAGAGCGAGGAGGAGGCCCCTGCAGGGAAACCTGGCCAGGTGAGGCCCAGGGGACGGCTGCCCCTCGGGGTCTCAGGGGCTCCCAGCAGCCTAGAGCTCTCCCGTGGCCCTCAGAGACTGGCGGAGTAGCTATGTGATGAGCACCTCCTCTGCCAGAGAAGACTCACCTTAGAGTTTGGGGAGAGGGAGGCGGGGGTGTGCAACTTGAAGAGCAAGGGCACTGGGCTTGTTTCAGCCGCCTGCGGGAACTGCCCTTCCTGCACAAGCAGCAGCTTGAATGGCTGCTTCCCAGAGAGTGCTCTTGCACCCCACTCGGTTAAGCACTCCCCTTTATCTCAGTTTTTCTGTCTAGTAAATGAGCTGCCGTCCTCATCCCAGATAGTTCTGCTGTGAAGGGACTTGAGAAGTTTTCATTGCCTGGTCCTCTGGCTTCTCAGGCCAAATCATGGCTTGTTAGCCAACAGGAATTTGGTTACCTTCTATCTGCCGGGACCCTATCCCCTGGGCAGGTGCCCAGGGCTGCAGCCTCCGAGGCTCTGGTTGCATCTTAAGGGAAGTCTAGAGGGGCTGGGCAGCTGTTGGAATCAGAGAGGGAAGAGGATGGGTCAGACAGTGGTGGTAAAAGGCCTCAGCAACCCTGAGCCCACCCAGGTGAGG